TACTGGACTATGTTATTTGGATTATCCCTTAACTGAAGGACATTGATGACTGACTGATTTATCTGTGTATGACTTGGACTGTTTGATGGACTCTGATACCTCTATTTCTACGAAAGTAAAACTACAGTGTCTCTATATGCTGGTTTGTGTGTTCTCCAACACAACTCTCACAACGCTTTACTGAACGTACTCGCTCTCCCAACTTAACAATTTCCTCTCTGTTAGTGAGAATTAAGTCCAATCCAAGAACAATAAAAAAAATTAAGTCCAAGAACAATCAACCAATAAACCTTGCCTTCAGAAGGTGTGGAGGCTTTCCACAAGAGATTGGACAACCATCTGTCTGAAATAGTATATGGCCTCATGCTGAAGCAGGGGGTTGGACTAGAAGACCTCCAAGGTCTCTTCCAACTCTATTATTCAATCTTCTATTGTCTCAGAAAAGTAATATGAACTATAAAGGAGTCGGATGATTACCTTTTTTGGCTCAATATAAGGGGATATCAGTATAGTACTATTAATTTAGATTTTTCTAGATTATATGAGTAAAAATAATTTGGCCATTTCAAATACCAATAAAGTGTTAGAATGTTTTCTACAAGTGTCTTTGGTCTTAAAATTATGGCAAAATTCAAAACAGTGCTAACAGCAGCAACAAATTTTAAAAAAACAAAAAGATCTGCGAGCTTTCTGAATTGGTCCAGGTTCTGTTTATTATTTATTTATTCATTTCATCAACAATATATTTATATCATTTTTGCACTATGACATTCATGGTACATTAAAAAACAATAGAAATAGCCTGCAGTACTGCATTCTAACCACTGCGCCACCACAACTCTTGATATAGTTCTGTACATCTGCCTGTCTTGTGTAGTGGCTTGTTGCCATATTCTTTCAGAAAATACCAAAAATTCCAGAACCTCTAGTGATGTCAGAATTATTACGTTCAAGGTAAATAGATGGTTGCTTGTTGTTGCTTCAGTTTGTATATGAAATCAGGCATTCATGAGTCACTATACCCAGTAATGAAAATATGTTACAGCTTTACTTGCACTGAAAGAATAAGGTACTCCATGGCTGTTTAGTCTTCCCCAACCTAGGATAGAAGACTTTGTTGCATTAACCTGGTGATGAAAATGACTGCAGTTTTCATTTATTGCACATGAACTCTGTTTTCAGTTGTCAGGATTGTACGTTGACTGCCAGTCCTTGGTTCAAGCGCTTGAAGAGCTGCCTCTGCACCTCAAACTCAACATGGCTGCTGAACTGGTACAGGTAATACCCCTCCTCCTCAAAAATATCTTGAGCCCAGGGATGGGCTGCTATGGATTCACCCATGTTCAGGAGAACCCATAGCTAATGTTATGGCTGGTTTGGAGAACCTCCAATCACACCCCTGGCTGGCCCTGCCCACCCCACCCCTCCCCTCCCAGGAGTTTCCACATGGCCTTGGATGCGAGGTAAGTGCAGGCCCGGGTGGAAGCTCAGGGAGGAAGAAAAACAGGCCTCCTGGAAGTTCCAGAAGGCAGGAAATGGGTCTGTTTTCGGTCTCCGGAGGGCCTCCAGAGACTGGGGGAAGCAGTTTTCGCTTTCCCAAAGTCTTTAGGAAAGCCTCCGGAGCCTGGGGAAGGCGAAAATTTTCCCCCTCCCACTGTGATGCAGGAGGCCGACTAGCCATGCCCACTATGGCCACACCCACCCAGCAACCAGGCAGAGAACCCGTCGCTGACATTTTTGAAGCCTTGCTTGAGCCATATTGCAAGCTGAACAGTCTCATATTATTTTAATGTTGCTACTTCAGCTCTACAAGGGAGGAATGCTATTAAATAGCAGAATTTCCTATCAGCACTTCTTCAGCTCCATTGCTCCTCTAAAACAAAATGTTTTCCACATGCCAAGTGCATTTCGGTCAAGACTCGCATCCCCAAAGATTTGCCCGTTCCAGTTTTGCTACTCCAAACCTCCCCCCCCCCAAACAAACTCTTGTTAGCAACATCACAGAGAACATTTCTTCCTTGTTCTCACTGCTCTTTACAATAATCCTTGCTTTGATCTTGTCCATTATGCAGTGGATCTAGTTCGTCAGTGCAGCTACTACACAGACCTATATAAAAAACAATTACTTTTGCCTGGAGTTTATAATTCCTGGTAGCATCAAGAATATGAAATATCTTCTGACTGTGGGAAGGAACAAAAAAAAAAAGCAAAATATTCAGGTAGACTGAAAAGAAGTAATGTGAATTAACTGTAGCTGTTGGGTAAACTTAACGGTATATCAAGTGCTAGAAAAATCATTCCAGGTTAGATAAAAAGTGGCTATATAAGAATCCAAACCTGTTTTTTTTTCTTCTGAGGGTTTGCCTAAAGCGACTCAGATATGTTGCTCATTTTTTTTTTATTCCAACTCAAAGTCACTTTTCTGACTGTAGCCAGAGAAATTTGCATTTGTTTTGCAAGTCAAATTCCTTCCTTTACATACAATGGCAAGGCTGGATGTCATTGCTTTTCCTGCTGTTAATTGTTTAAAAAGCAGTGGCTGTTTTTTTTAAATCCACTCTTAGGGCACATTCTGTGCTGTAATGAAGTAACAGATTCTCCTACTGTGCCTGATTAGAGCCAGCAAGTCAATGAACTGCAGGCTGTAGGAAGTTACATTTCCCCCCCACTTTTTTTTTCTCTTGCTACTGAATGGACCAATTTGGTGTCCTTGATTATTGTAAGCTGATCACATCTTTCAATGGTATAATAAAAGTCTGTGCTGTTCAATAGAATGAATGCTTCTGTTGGCATCATTCTTCTAGCTTCCTGAGGAATCAAATGAAATTGAAAACTGAGTGGGGAAAGGAAGCTGTCCTTACTATTTGGATGCTCTAAGCTCTTCATTGGAAAAGGACCTGGCAGGCTGATGGTTCCATCATGGTTTCTTTTGTCTGACCTTGTTTTGTATAAAATGATTGTAGGCAAATCCTTGAAAAGAGTAAGAGAGAAGATTATGCTGGCACATGTAAATAAAAAGCTGAAAGTGGAGATGTCAGGGCTCCAAATAGCATCCAAAATTAAATCAGAATCCAAGGCAAAGTGTTGCTCAAAGTTCCAATTTATTAAGAGTATTGGCACATCTGGGAAAAACCGAATCTGAAACCCAGTTGAAAGTTCAAGATCTTGACCCTACACCCACAAGTCCATCACATGGTCCAATCTTCCACCCATCCAATTCTGGTCAGGTGCAGAGACAAAGGATGACCTTGGCTTTCTAGAAAGAATTTTGTTTTGGCTACATAGCATCTACTCTGTACAATCCCCCCTGCCATTTTCCCACAATAGAAAATGCATAATAGAAAAATAGAAAGTGTGGCAGGCCAAAGATCCAAGACTAATAAGGCTGCAGGCCTGACAGGAGCTTCTAAAAATATTTAAATATTATCTTACTTTCTAGTGCAATATTCCTCTTCAGGTAGTCCTCGACATACGACCACAATTGAGCCCAACATTTCTGTTGTTAAGTGAGACGTTTGTTAAGTGAATTTTGCCCATTTTATGACTTTTCTTGTCTCAGTTGTTAAGTGAGTCACTGCCATTGATAAGTTAGTAATCTGGTTGTTAAGTGAGACTGGCTTCCCCATTGGCTTTGCTTGTCAGAAGGTTGCAAAAGGGGATCACATGACCTTGGGACATAGCAATGGGTATAAATATGAAACAGTTGCCAAGCATCTGAATTTCGATCACATGATCATAGGGATGCTGGAAATGTCATAACTGTGAAAATTGGCCATAACTCACTTTTGTCAGTGTCATTGTAGCTTTGGTCATTAAATGAACTGTTGTAAGTTGAGGACTACTGTACTTCTATACAGTATGAGTTTATTTTCTATAGTTTTGCGTATGTATAGATGAATATTTACTGGGTTTTTGTTCTGGTAGAAACTAAATTGCAAGTTGGGTTACTAAGTTGTTGTATTGCATCAACCATTGTTTAGAGCTGTTTTCTTACCACTGTAGGATGCAACGCCAGTCACACTTCCTCAGATTAAGCTGCAAAGTCATGATATGGCCAAGAAAAGTGGTGATCTATTGCAACAGCAAAAGAGAGTTGGGTCGCACTGTTATCCCAAGGAAGATTCCGCTGTTCCCTTGACTTTGTCAAATAAAGATGGATCGGGAATTTCTTCAGAAGCTCCGCAGAGAAATCCTTCAAATTTACATCAAGTAGTAGACCATTTGGATGAAGACCTTGATCTGCTCCTGAAATTAGATGCCCCTATTAATCCTGAAAACAATATTGCTTTGGATATGGTAGCAGATGACCTGCCACCTGGAGATGATTTGACAAAGAGTTTTGAAGAAACTGGTAAGTATTCGTCATTTTTCCTCCCCTCTCTTTTTCTAATTATTATTATTATTTAGTTATTTTTAATGCAATCAATGAAATATGTTTCCTTCCACAAACATTGTATGCCATCGCACCTATGGGATAATACATTGTTATATCAGTCATGTATAGTGTATTTTTCATTCCTCTTCTTTCCCATACAGTGAATTGAAATTATATATAGAAGCCTACAGGATGAACCTGTCTCTTTCTTTATTGTTTGTTTTATTTTTATGTTGCCTCTATTATTTTTATAAATAACTCAAGGTGGCAATCCCACCTAATACTTCTTCCTCCTCCCCATTTTCCACACCACAACAACCGTGTGAGGTGGGTTGGGCTGGGAGAAAATAACTGGCCCAAAGTCACCTGGTCAGTTTTCATGTCTAAGGTTCTTCTTCTTCCATGTCTAAGTCAAACTTTAAACACCAGTATGAAGCCACATTCTTGGCTCTGTTGTTGGCCAAAAATAAGTAATTATTGGTACATGTTTCTGGTAGTAGCTGATATACCAACTGGAGGGGTCAGCCATCGGGAGCTCCAGCAGCTGAATCAGAGGAGGAGGAGGAGGTGTGGGAGTCAGGGTCAGCATCAAGGCAAACTGAGAGCTCCGAGGGAGAAGAGGGAATGGAGTTCGCACAGAGAGAGACAGAGGCGGAGCCTGGGCCATCCATCAGCCCTCAGATGGAGAGTCAACAGCCCCCAGGTCTGGAAGTGGCTGATGAGGAAGAGGAGGAACAGCTGGGTCCAGTGTCTGACAAGCAAATGCGCAAAAGGCAAAGGAGAGGAGAGCAGAGGAAATCCATGGGCCGACCCTTGGGAAAGAAGAGCCACCGCTGCTAGCAAAGCCCCACCCTAGCTCTGGGGATAAAAGGCAGGGGGCGGAGATGAATAGATGTTGCACACAACTATTCATCTTCCGGCCGGATTGTCTTGTTAGCCTGAGGTGACATAAACTTTTTGCTGGGGCTGCCAGCACTCCTAATAAAGGAATCTTTGAGTTAACTTCAGAGGTTTATCATGTTTGGGGAGTTGTGTCAGAACAGCTGGGCTATGTGTCTTTCCACATTCACATAGTGTGTTATTATCCTCTACGAGCTTTAACTTGAGCAAAGTGGTTTTACATTTAGTTACTCCAACTCTCAACCTATTCAGGGTCCTCCAAGAGGTATAAGGGAGGTCAGGTGGGATTAGAACTCAAGTCTCCCACTTTCTATGCTGGTACCTTAATCACTAGACCAAACTGGCTCTCTTCCTTTCTGGAAAAGTAGGTGGAGAAAGTCCTTTACTGAAAATGGACCATAGCGATTTAGCAGAAACAAGTTCTCAGTTCATCATTTATCATTCATTTCAGAACACAGCTAGACTTCAATAGTAAGTAGTACTTTAGAATGAAGCAATAAAACATTTAGGTTAGGGCTCTGCAGATGGCTAAAAACTAGAACCACATTAGTGTATCAGGTGGATGAGCTTGCTTTTTCTAGTGATGAGCACCAGGTGTTACAGTATATTCCTTGGCTGAGGTTATATTTCCCCCAGCATTCTTGTCACAAATCATTTTGCTGCAGTCCATCACTGTCTCAGAAATTATCTCTAACCATCCTCTGTTGTGTCTGTTTTCTGAATCCTCCTCCTGGAAAATATTATTTAGTCTTTCTATCCAGTTACATGAGAATCTGTTGTTCCCTTGTGTACTTATTAGTATTGTTAAATGCTGTCAAGTTGGACTCAATTCTTAGCATCCACATAGCTAGATTTTTTCTATGATCTTCAATCTGGCCTTTTAGGATTCGCAGTGGAGTGTTCATTTCTGTTGTAATTGTCATATTGTTGTATAAATTGCATAGGTTACATTAATAAGAGGAGTGGAAAACTGAATACATTTAAAACAAAAAGGCTTTAAGGCCACCACAATTTAAGTTCTACTGTGAGCTGGCTCCTGTGTGTACTTAAGCTGGACAGTGTTGCCTTTCCTATTGGATAGACTGTGTATGCAACACATTTTAGTGACATTTTGTAAATCAGAGTTCAAAGATATGCACTATTGGGTGAGTGCAACCAAGCATAATGCAAATAGTAGAGATTGATAAAATATTTAATTTATGATGAAAATAATTTTACAGTATTAATAAATGCCTACATGAAACTAAAGTAAGGTATACTACATGCATTCTTGCCTGTGGGCCTGAGGCTAGTGTGCTGTTTCTCAACCTTAGCAATGTTAGATGTGTGAACTTCAATTTCCAGAATTTCCCAGAGATTTCAGAGAAAAACATAATTCATTATTTTTCCTGCAATTTTTAGCCTTTACCCAGCCTGATGATTCCATCAGATCGATAACTCTTACAGAGAGAGTTAAGTATAACCAAATAAATTAATTGTAAACTATTCCATAATTTGTTTTCTAAAGCATGCATTAAATTGAATTCACTCTTATAGTCTGTTCTGGATGCTAGGAATATCCCACTAATTATGCTAAATTATGAGATAGTTGGTTCTGATATGCAAAACCATATCCACATGATCTGAGACTAATTTGTTTCTGATGATTTTTACCTACTCTAAAATTTTAAATCATGGTACTTGATTGACTGTAACAGTATTTTCAGTAAGAAAGTCTTTGTATTTGGAATATAAGAAATTGATCTGCTTAATGCCACAGCTGAAATTATACTGTTGTTTCTGTATAGTCAAACGCAGACCAATTTTGAAGTTTGGTTTCTTTGGAAACTGACAGTTGAGCATACTGAATATTTATAAAAGTAATTATGGAATTAGTATCCATTTGATTATTTTCTTGCAAGTTCATATATAAGAGAATTTTAACTGTTTCACTCAATGAAAATCGATCACCAAAATATTGCTCTATGATTTAATTTACCGTGTTCGAGAGAATACATTTCAAGAAGTGTCAGGCTGCATTTATGAAGCAACATGAATACATGAATAATGAAGCAGCACTAGGAAACATCAGGACTTGGAACTTTAAAGTTTGTGTAGCAGTTGTTAGAAATTGAATTGTTATGGATTGTTGCATTGTTACCTTATTTTGCAAAATAAGATTTAGGTTTGAAAATTATTGATTCATATTCAGAAACATTCATTTCAGGAAATCATTTTGTGGGTGTGCTCACACGCATATGCACATACACAAAATCAATACAAAACAGTGCAAGTTCTTAGAGCATCAATTATTTTATCAGTTTTACCTCTTTTCTTATATCCTTAAGTCTTCAGGATACAAGTATAATGTTCCTGGATTTAGTTGTGTTGCTATATCACTGAGTTTGCTCAGCATCGTAGAGTTAGAGAATGATACAATCAAGCTTGTGGTTTTTTAATACTCTGATTGCAATAACATCACAGCTTTGCAAATATAATATTCCACCAAGCAAGTTTTGATAAGCTACAGACTATAAGTGTCTAAACTGAAAGTTGAATATCATCTAATTACCAATAGCTGTGTCTGCACTTTCATTAATAGCTACAGTATGAAATCTTGCTAAGGCTATTTCACACGTAATATTGTTTACCATGCTGTTGCTAATGTTGAAAAAAAGTCAAACCAAATATTTGCTCCAGCTTTCTGAATATGCATACATATATTTCCTGTGTTCATGTTTTAATGTAAACTGTCCAAAGAGCCTCAACTATCAGATTTTTTAAAATTTTAAATAAATGAAATCTTCAAACAATCATTTCTCGGATCAAGAGAACATTGTCAGTAATATCCTTGAAATTCTCCAGCTTTGAATTTTTCATTTAAGATTAATTTGCATTCTCTCCTTTTGTCTGGATTTTCAAGCAGTATTATTATTACTGCTCATCGCACAGCCAGCTAGATTGATTAGCAACACTACATGCCAATCAGGTTCCTGATAAAGTTTCCAGTTTTATCAATTATTCCTACACAGGAATAATTCTAGAAGTCACTGGGGCCAATGGTATGAAGGATCCAGCCAACGGCAAGGCAGGCCCTTCAACAGGAACATTAGAAGGCAAGTCTGATTACAGGAAAGGGTGGAGTAACTGAGCTTGTGCTGTGCAAGTGAAGCTTCCATACGCTAAACATAAAGGTAAAGGTTCCCCTCACACTTATGTGCTAGTCATTCCTGACTCTACGGAGCAGTGCTCATCTCCATTTTAAAGCTGAAGAACCAGCGCTGTCAGAAAACGTCTCTGTGGTCATATGGTCCATATGACTAAAGGGGGCGAAGGCACATGGAATGCTGTTACCTTCCCACCAAAGTGGTCCCTATTTTTCTACTTGCATTTTTACGTGCTTTCAAACTGCTAGGTCGGCAGAAGCTAGGACAAGTAACGGGAGCTCACTCCATTATGCGGTACTCGGGATTCGGACCACTGAACTGCCGACCTTTCTGATTGACAAGCTCAGCATCTTACCCACTGAGCCACTGCGTCCCACATACTAGAACTTGGTAAATAACAAATGTTTGGTCTTCAGGTTGTATTTTTGTATTTTCCTAAATGATTTGAGAACTAAGATGAAATCACAATAGCATTGTTTCATAACTGACAATCATGATATTTATCATTTTTCTTTGCCTTTTTTTTAAACAAAAGAGTTATTATTTAACTTATCTTTCTTTTCTTTTGTCAGATCACTTAGAACCAGGTAGAACTGAAGAAAGTTGCTCAACATCTCAACCGCCAGAAGCTGCCTCCAAAAATATTACTGAAGAGGAACTTGAGGACTGGTTAGATAGTATGATCTCCTAAAAGCTACATTTTGTTCATCATATAGTACAAGTATGTGAAAAATAATTTAAGATGACAATTCAGTAATTGTAAAAAATGTTTACAAATATTTAATCTGGTGATTGGCTGAACCTGAACCTTTAAAATGCTATTTGTATATTTGCAGTGTTCTGGATTTCATTGCCTTAAGAAATTTAACAATATTAATTTGAAGTTGTAAAAGTATAAAAACCTATTTAGAGTCTGTGAAATAAAATACATTACATTTGCAAGTACAATTATGGAACATGTCTTGGTGTGACACCAATAACACAATGAAATATGACATAAAGTTTTGTTTTGCAAATTCTTTATTGCAGTGCATGTTGTTATTTGAAGGAAAAAAACGCATTAACGTTGCAACTAATCACTAGTTTAATTATGTTCAGTTGTAAGACAGGTTTTTAAACCAACTGCATGTAGTAAGCAGTTTTGTAATAAGTATATGACTAAATTTCATGTCATACAGTAAGACCAGAAAGCAACACAGTCAAATAACAAAAATGTCAATCTAAAGGACTAACATTTTTAAAAAAAGTATTTTGCATAGCTAGATCTGGAAAGAGTTAAGGCACTTAGATTTAGAGACAATAAAATACTTGACAATTTTAAGCACTGAATACTTAAAATCTTTCTGTCTGCATTGTTACACTAAGAAATGGCACAGGGAAAACAAGGCTGATTGAAATATTAAGTTCACCATATGAGTCCATGATTATGTTATTGTCATCTGACATTCAGAGTCTTCAGTTGCAAAACAATGATATAGCCCTTTCACCTATATTATTTTCTACAAAGGACTGATAAAAAACAATGATTCCTGAATTAAAGTACTGAACTAAAATGTTTAAATGTTATTTTTTTGCTCTGCACCACCTAAAAACAAACAAAACTGAAATCCAAATAATTCAGAGCCTGTTTCTGCCACATACAAAAAGCTAATCTAGATCAATTTAAAACTGGGCTACTTCATTTACTTAGAGGTCAAACATAAGCAACATTTATGTTATGCCATTGTTTTGTAAGAATTCTATTTTTGTTTACATTGAATACAGTAGTTCCTTTGTTGGTATTTTTATCCAAGTTGATCTTCATACTGTTTACGGAAGCAATCTCCAGCTGGGAAGAAATCCCAGCATCTTTCTTGGTACATTTTCCATACATATGATTCCTGAAAATATAAAATACATGTTTTTCAAAAGATTTATTTGAGAAAAGAAATACTTTTCATTCTTAAGGCATATTTTTCTCTCAGATTAATGAATGGACATTTTCCCTATTAGAAACATCAAGTGGGAATATATTCCTGAAAATAGCAAGGCAGCCTTTCTATTGGTGAATCTACCGTATCAATTTATAGTTCAGTTATTAATCTTAGGGAATATATTTTTGTTATATAAGATATTACATTACTTTCATTTGCTAAACAAGCAATTACATAGTGATAACTTCCGATAAATGCATTTCACATTTAAATACAGGCTGGCAGCCAACTTTGCTTTAGTATGCAATGACATTTTTTTTTACAAAATTATAATCTTATAATAACAGGTCATGAACAATTGTTATAATACACTAAATTAAATATTCAGAAGAAGGCATGAAAAACTACAGTATTCAGTACATGAGTTTCAATGGAAGAACATTTAAAAATTTGGATGTCATATATTTAGAATGATCAATAATTTGCTTTTGGAGAAAAAATGAATGGTAATCATTTAATTGTATAAAGTGACATTAGTATATCTCTAAAAAATGTTGATTATATATTTTATGAATGTTTTCAGAAATGTTTGTTTCTTTTCATTTACATAATCAATTAATACTTTACCTGCCCAGTGTGCTCAGTTTCATCCTTATTAATAAGATACATCAAAAAGAATCTGGAGAAAGAATATGAAAATATACATGACTATTTTTGGTGGTATATTGTTCTTGCTTCTTAAGAAAATGGTAATTATTTCCATTTAAAAATGTGAAACTATAGGTTAAAAAAGACTTCTTTTATGATTCATTTTATAGGACTCTGAAAGAGTTGAATGGTGATATTAAATAGTGAAATATTTTACATTGGTAAAAGAGTTTTGTGTATGTAAAATTGCACAAGTGTCTGCTTCTGAGTTTCCAATCCAAAAAAGTAGACAACCTCATCAAGAAAGCATTACTGTGTTTCCCCGAAGATATGACATGTCCTGCTAATAAGGCCAGGCCTGGTTTTTGAGGTGGGTATAAATATATGCCCATCCCCGAAAATAAGCCCTAGTGAAAGGGTGCCGTGGCAAGTACAGGAGGAAGCCTTTCTCTTCCCTGGTCACCTCAGCGCTTCTTGGTTCCTTAATCAGATCAGTTGAGCCGATCCGGCTGCCATTCAAAAAACAGCTGATTTGCGGGTGCTCTTCAGGCCATGGCCTTCAGCAAGTGCAGCTGCTTTTGCCATCGATTGCGGCCACAAAAGCAGCAGGAGGCCAAGTGATGCACCCCATGCGCCTTGCACTGGCCTTCCGGATCATTATTTCATCCTGATCCACGTGGCCCAGTGAGCCACGTGGATCGGGACAAAATAAGGGTAAAAAAATTGTGGATAGCTGCTGCTACAGTACCCTTCGGAAGGCCGGCTTGAGTCTCCTGCTGCAAAAGTGGCTCCACTCGAGACTGCTTTTGGGAGAAGAGGCAAAGGGAAAGCAATCAGTTTCATCTCGCTATTGCCCTCAGCCCCCTCTTCGCCTGAGCTCAAGCAGAGAAGTGGCCCACAGGGTTTCAGGAGCAAAGTTGAGGCTGACAGGAGTCAGAGCAGGGGAGAAAGTCCAGTGCGGCCCCAAGGCTCTTCTTTTCTTGGAAATGGAATCTTGGGAGTGGGAAACGGCATTCCCAGGAAGAGTGGGTATGTCAGTATGTGTATAAAAAGCACAAAGCGAGGAGCCAGCAGCCGCAGATTATGGAGCTTTGTGAAACAGTACGTGGCTGGAGGCGGCGTTTGTGTCGTATTGGGCTTTCTTTGCAAGGCGCACAATCTGGGGAGTGTGAGATTTAGGAAGCCTGGGCTGGCATGGGCAGTTTCTCCATTGAAGTATCTGATTCATCCCCAGGGGTGAGCATTTTGCCTCCTCTCTACCCCGGCTTGGAAGCTTCGGAGGAAGCCTACCATGCCTGGCGAGGGTGGGAGAAGAGACGGCAAGAAGCCATGCCTTTCTCCACACCTCACACCTCTCACCTCTCTCCCACCCCACCTGCCACCCATCTCTATAAAGAGACAGTGGGGAAGAGAAGCAGCCTGGATTCTGTTAGCATTGGTGCTGGGTGGGAGGAGTTGGGCCACGAGACATGCGTCCTACCCAAGACTTGCAGCTCCGTCATGTTGCTCACTGTTTTGTCCAGGGAAGTTGAACTCATGAGATTTTTTTTTACAGGGTGCTTCCCTGGACAAAACAGCGAGAAAAACGATAAAGCTGCAAGTCTTTGGTAGAATGTGTGTCTTGCAGCCAAACACCTCCCACCCCACCCCAAAGCTAACAGAATTCAGGTGCTTCCCTTCGCCACTGTCTCTTTAGCGAGAGGGGTGGCGGGTGGGCTGGAGGAGAAGTGAGAGGTGTGGAGTAAGGCATGGCTTCTCTTGCCATCTCTTCTCCCCCACTGCCAGGCATGGCAGGCTTCCTCTGCAGCTTCCAAGCCAGGGCAGAGAGGAGGCAAAGCGCTCACCTCTGGGGATGAATCAGATGCTTCACTGGAGAAACTGCCCCACGACAGCCCAGGCTTCCTAAATCTCTTGCTCCCCAGATTGTGCCCCTCGCAAAGAAAGCCCAACCCGACGCAGGGTGGTGACGGGACACATCAGAGCAGTGCCGGCCAGCTGTTCAGCCAGAACAGGGAGGGGAGGCGATGGGGGCGACAGGACATACAGTCCCATTCTTGCCGCCGCTTGCATCCCCAAAATAATACCCCCCCCCATAATAAGGCCAAGGCCATATTTCGTGGGTCAAAAGAAAATAAGACCCTGTCTTATTTTCGGGGAAACACGGTAGAAGAAAAACAAATGTACAAAAACCATTAATGAAAATAATTAACATGAAGCTGCAAATGCAGGTATCTGTTTAGTTATTCACAATATTTTATTTTGGTGGTGACTGGTTCTATATTTTCTTTCTTTCTTTCATGAACAATAAAAACCTGTACCTTGTATTTTACATTTACATTTCAAGGAAGTCAAATGACAGGCCCCTACACCAATTGTTTCTAAAGCAAAATTTGCCTTGGAGCAATATTAATTTTCCTGTTGCCAAAGCCTCTGATGGCTCATACTATGGCTCACCTTTCCAAAGATAATGTCTCCCCTTTCCAATCAAGTCAATGAACATTACTGGCAGTTGAAGCTGTCAAATTTGAAAAATACTGGTCTAGAGACTGACAGAACACTCCTGTTCTGAAGCCCTTCCATATCCAAAGTTTGTTCTGAGCAGGCATGAGGTGTTTGGATTGGTTGGTTGGTTGGTTTTCCTTTAGGGATCCTTTAGAGATCACTAAAGCACAGTGGTGAGCTGCTGCATAGTCACACGGGTTCAGGCAAACACTTAGCTTTGATCACTGGCTGGGCCCACCCACCCAACCTTGTGCTAAGCTATAACTAGCTTTCTGCTCGTTCCCTCCGCGCTCGCTGTTCATCTGAGTTTTGCACCGCCCCTGCTTCACTCACCAGAGCTGCCTGAGTTGATAACCTGTTCTTTGAAGTCCGTTTCACTCCCAAAGGGGCACGTCTGTGCAAAACTAGTGCACAACTAGCGAACCACTTGTGAATGTAAGTGCAGACCACCTCTATAACCTGACAAAGTCCTGAGTCTGGGAGTACAGGAGTGCAACACACGGATTTTGGAGTAAGTCTCATAAAACTCACTTCTGCATAGATATTCCTAGCCTTGTGCTATGAGCCTGGACAACCCTATTAACATTGTTAACAATCATTTCTAAAGAAACATGTGTTAATAAAGCAGTACATGCGTTTACTTACAAATAGTTGGCCAGATTGTGTTCTTGTAAAGTATGCATTTCAAAACCATGTGGAGTTGTATCAAAATATTCATTACCAATTCCACAAATAAAGCATTTGGTCTAAAAATCAAATAAAAATATTAGCAATATAAGAATGAATGTAGTTTTCTTGACAATTTAGTGCAAAGTTTTTCCTCTTTCATTTACTGAAAACAAACTCAATACAATCGTGATCTTACCTCCATGTCTTCTTTGACCTGCTCTTGCTGATCTCTCAGTTCGCCAAAGGCATCAATAATAAGACCTATTATTAGAAAGAAAAAGACACAAATTCTTGCTAAAAAATCTTAACTCAGCTACATATTTGCAGTACATACACCCTGCACTACCATTTGGGACCCATTGATTTTCTTCCTACTCAGTTAATGTATTTCTTAGAAGAAAGGCATATGAAGAAGAAAGAAAAATCACAATATAAGTAAAATACGGGCATCATTAAAATGGAAATTTTGATATACTAAGCTATTTTTAATCACATGCAAATATTGATGCAGAAAATACAAATCAAGGGGAGTGCCCCAACAAGGACACAATTTGGGGACCCCTAGTTAAGTGAAACAAAAAATTTTTTTTTTAAATACAGTTTTTTATTTTTTGTTCTCTATATATACATTCACATAATTATTATTCTTTTTTTTACATTTATAATTCTAATACATTTGTCATTCCATTTATGAAATTGTAATATTCCATTCGGGTTGTTTTGTTTACCATCCCTTGCCTATTTTGACACCACCTTCTTCTCCTTTCCTTTCCTCCCTCCCTCCCTCCCTCCTCTACTTCCTTCCTTCCTCCTTTCCCTTCCTTCTTCCCTTACCTCTCCCATCCTCCTCTCTTCCTCTTCCCCTTCCTACCCTCTCTTCTTCTCCCTTCCATCTTCTCCTCTTCCTCTCATCTCCTTTCCTTTCTTTCTCCCTTACTTCTCTACTTTCTTCTTTCCTCCTCTCCTTTCCCTTCCTTCTTCCTTTACTTCTCCCTACTTCTCTCTACCTCTTCCCCTTCTTACCTGCTCTCCTTCTCACCTTCCCCCTTCCATTTTCCTCTTCTCACCTTCTTCCTTCCTTCCTTCCCTCCTTTTCCTTTCTTCCTTTCTTTTTCTATTGCTGCAGGTGTCTCTTCCAGCTCTTAATTTCTATTTTCTTGGGGTGGTATTTCCGCAAACTCAAAAATCTTTGTATATAATTTCTTTTTTTTAAAGAATATTTTTATTTTTGGTCAGACAAAGACAGACAACACATAACACATAGAGCCTTCTTCATTCACGTAAAGCATGTTGTTTGGTTGTAAAATTTTTGTGCATCACTTCCATAGTTCTCACTTTCAAATGTATGTAAGATCACAAATCATCAATTCATTTCAAACAAATTCTCATATCATCAATCCAGTATATTATATAAAATTCTTGTCTTTTTCATTTCTCCTCAACAAAAATAATTGATTTTGTATGAAATTTTCTCCCTTTGGTCAATTTATCAGTTTTTTTTTCAGAGGCCAACAAGGGGACACTCCTCTGATTTGTAGCCTTCAAAAACATTACTGATAAATTGATCTTAGGGAGAAAATCTCACACAAAATCAGTATATTTTGTTGAGGAGAAATGGAAAACACAAGAATTTTATTTTTTGTTTCACTTAACTTAGAGTTCCCCAAATTCTTCCGCTTATCAACCCCTTAATGACATCTCACATTGTTCATTTACCTTCAAACATTAATTAAATGAAAATTTACTCTTACTTTAACTAATGGTACTATAACAACAAAACCTCCCAAAGAAAGCTATAGAGAACTTTGTCTAAAATGTTGTCAAAAAAACTTTATGGATATTTACGTAGCCACTGGAAATTCAATACAATTTATGAAAGGTATTATATCATTAGCTATTGTAAAAAAAAATCTTGTTTGACATTCATCATCTATAAGTTTCGGTCATTTTTTTCTCAGTGGCCAGCAGCATGATGTATTTCTGAAAATGAATCTCTCTTAAACAAATATTGTATTGATCAGTTTGAAAAAAAGATGAAATACTAAAACTATAATTTAAATTTGAAGATAGATCTTTCTTACATTACTCCAATAACGCCCTTACTCAAAATGAAGTGTAACCACTCATTGAATACTGTATAGAACAAAACTATTAGCAGGAACTTAAGCAATTCTCCCCCCCCCCCTCCAGAGGGGATGATAGCAGTCCTGTAGAGGTATATAAATCTATTTTTGGCATGGCAATGTTTGCAAGGAAAATTATTAATTCCCTTTCCCTATGTTAGAGCTTGAGTTTACCAGTTCAGCATAAATGCAGAAAGATTAAAGTCTGATAAAAGGAAGTACTTTCCACAGTGTATAGTGAAAAGTCTGAAAATTGTTGCCAGGAGATGCTGTGATAAGAAATGTGTATGAATTTTTTAAAGTGTGATAAATATATATGGATTGCAGCAGGGGTGGGTTCCAGAAGGCACTACTGCTGGCTCGCTCGAGGGTGCGTCACATGCACAGTGCAATAAAAATTATTCTGCGCATGCACAGAAGCAAAAAATAAGATGGCAGTGCTTATGGCACCGCCTGGAGAACCAGTTCAGGGGCGTGGCAGACCTGGGTCGCTGACATTCCAAACCACTACCAGTTCGTCTGAACCAGTAGGAACCCAGCACTGGTTTGCAGCAGAAGCATTAGTAAACCCCAGGAATCTTAACAATAACAAACCTTGAATGATGGCCAGTAGGATAACAATGACAAAGAAGAAAAATGTGATATCAAAAACAATTCGATATATTTCATAAGGGTCTCCTGCAGGGTCTTCAATTTCATCTCCAATACCTCCACCTGCTCGTACACCGACATACATATGGAACAGGTAACACTGAAATGCAGAATTTACTACAGTTTATGGAAAATAATCAAACCACCTTGAATTAAAAGACATTTTAAAAAGGTCAATACTTTTATATCATATATTAGAAGTTAGGATAGATCTCACAACATTTAAAATGTTACAGAAATGCTAAGATTAAAATTCAGTATCATTAGCTTACAACTGCATGTATTTATTTCAATGCAGCTTGCATATGAAAAATTCAAGTGGTTTAGCTAAAATTTTGAAATACTGCAACAGAGAACATTGTTTTGTCTATTTCCTATAGTAAATCCAAATTGCTTGGTTGCTACCTTTTGCCGTGTGATGTTTTAATAGCCCTTTAATTGTATTTATACTTATTCTTAATTTCATTCTTATTTACTTCTGGAAAAATAGATGAAGGGAATTTTGGTTTTCTTATATATTTCTGGTCTTGAGGATATTATCACTTACCAGCTGAGTCTGGGGGGATACTCCTGTGCAGGTATGCCCACACAAACCTTTCTGTGACAAAGATATATGTGTAGTTCCCAGTTTTCTACAACCTTACCATACTTTGCTTTTCTCATCCCATGGGTAACTTCACACCCTATCCCATTCGCATAGCTACGTCTACACCTTATATTCATAGTTGAAAAATATTTTGTAAGATAACTAAAAATTTATTGAAGAAATAATAAAATGAAACCTAAAAATTTAAAATGTTGGTGAATTACACACCACTCAAAAGTAATCTGAGGTTAAAGGTATATAATATTTAACTCTTAGACCCAGAGAGAGAGGTTTACAGATATGGATGAAAGCACTCTTCAAACTGCTTTGACCAAGTCTAACCTAAGTACTTTAGATACATAGGTCAAAAATAATCCTCTCATACACACAAGTCTGGAATGAACCTTGTCTGGTTGCCATTGGGCTGTTCGAAGGAAAGAACCTACTCTAATGGTACATGGAAGTGACCCAGAGGGATGATGCATCGGACTGTCAAAAGAGGCTGCGGGAAATCTGTGTTTTCAGACTTCAAGAGTCTGTTAATATAGCTGTACAATAAAGTAGAACTACCCCATCTAGTTGTATTTACTGTTTGTTTACCTAGGAGAGCTAATATCCCAAAGGGTGTCCCCAGGAGTCACAGTGCATGCTAAGGGCCTTAGCAAAAATCAAGAATAAACAGGTTTTCAAAGAAAGCATTAAGTTTAGATAATTAAAACTGTTACTTGTATAGTGTAGCCTTCTACTGTAGCTGTCTTCTGTTGACATATATATTAGATTCTGATTAATTAATTAATGTTGTAATATAATTCCAATCTATAGTTTTTATTGAGGGCTGCCTGTTGTTCTCTTGCTAATGGCACTACTCTTCACGTTCACATAGTACTTACAGTCATCATATCGTCACATTTCATGTCTGGCTCATCCTCATCCTCACTCTTGTTATAAAATTTCCGGAAGAAATTAAATGCAACAACCGTGTAAAGATATACCACCACAGCCAAGAGTCCAACAGTTAACATGAGCTATAATATAGCAATACAAAATAAATGGTGAATGATATGTAGAGAAGAAACAACAATTAAGAAGTTAAATCTTGCCCACAATATAAAAGATACTTATTTCCACTGTGATGCTGCAGCATTTTGAACATTATGTCATTCAAAATATATTAATTAAATCAAGATTTGAGTTTACACTGGTGCATTAGCTGCTTAAACCAATCTATGGACTTTTAAGCTTTTCTAATTGCTTCTTAATTGACTTTCAAGCGTTCATATATAGTGGACCATTACTCCATTGTGTTTCTCTATGCAACAATCATATTTAGGTTTCATAAATATCTGCCTGAAAGGGGCAAACCAGAGCCAACTAAACAGTTCATTCAAAAGATCACAAGCTGTCCATAAACTTCAATATTTAGTGCCCCTAAGGAGTAGATACTTCCAGAAACCTAGCAACACATATGAAGGACATGTAAAACATTGCAAAATATTCTTCATTAAATAAGTGGAGAGGAAATCCCTTGAGTTGATTGTTTGTTAATTTCAGGTTAGTCCTGCTAAATCGCAGCTAGCATTGAAACATTCATTTGCAAAGCCCTTGAAAAGCTTGATTTATAATGCCCAGGAGCATGAGCAAAGCACCTGTCTGAATCATTCAAGCAACTGTGTCTAGCGATGGTTCTACAGCTGCTTCAGATGTTGCTCCAAGCTGTTGCCTTATGATTATGCAACAACTCTTTTGAATGCTTTGTACAACTAATCTAAATAAATGAGTTTGCAAGTATTCGATTCTGAAATGTATTTGTAATACATTTAGCACACATAACATATTTTAGTACTTATATTAAGCAGAACAGACAGTTCTGCTGTTTTACAATGTTGGGGACTACTGTGCCAATCCAGAAATCTTATTTATATAGCAAAGAAGTATCTTCGTAGCTCTCCTGTGGAAAAGAATGGCTGTTACGTAGAGCATTGGTTCACCAGATTTAATAATCTATCCACATAGCAATGCATGGAACAATTGGCCTTCCTCTTCAATCTTCAAATGCTGTACAATAGAGAGAGAAGCTGTAGCCATGCTTGACTGAACACATTTATACGCTTTGTCAATTGGATTTGTGAGGTTTTAAGAAGGAGCACACAGTTTTAGGGTACTACCTTGGCCTTTGCCTCAGTGGTCACATTATGAAGAAATGCTTTCAAAGTAGAAAGAGCAAATAGATTTTTTTGAACAAACAAGACTAGGTAGATTCTTACCTGAATCAAAGTCAATTTGTGAATAATGCAAAATGATATACAATGGATTAGTACAAAAACACATTTATTTATGAGGGGTCCCAAGTGATATATTCTATCTGTCTGATCCCCTGTGGTTGAGGATTGTGTCATTGTTTTGATCAACTTATATGTACTCTCTTGGGTTAACTGAGTAGTGATTTCACATGTACGAATTTCCGCATATTGGATATTCTAGAAGTATAACTCTAGTTATTTACTGGAAAAGCAGATAATTCAGCACTGACCTCTGCTACAGTGTTATTCCATTTACAGGCTTTGCCTATTTTAACCACAAAATGGAATGATAGGCTAATTTCATTAAAGGATCAAAGCACTTCTGCACTTCTAACAAGAGCTGTCAAATGAAAGCTTTCTTCTCTCTAACAAAATCATAAAATTGGAGGGGAGGAGGGAATTTAGTCAATTTAATTCCTTGCTCTGTGCAAAATCCAAATTAAAGCATCCACAGAAGATGGCTGAATACATACAATGAAGGAGAGCCTATCCTCTTTCTGGGTGATTATTTTAATCTGAGTTTGTCTTCCTCTTACTTGAAGTTACTAGTTCCATTTTCTGCACAATATGCATTCTCTTCCAAAGGTTAAACCTCCCTAACTCTTTCAGATTCTCTCTATAATACATGCATCCGATCATCTTTCTCACCCTGTTCCAGTTGCTTTGAATTCCCCTGATGAACACAATGCATAAGGGGAGGGAGGGTTTAAATGACATTAGAATAAATGCTATTATTAAGCCAGATAGCCCTCATTCTATGCCAGGGGATTTGATTTCATATGGAACTTTATATTTATTAAATTTTATTTCTATTTTTAGTCCTGTTAATTATCCCACCAGTAATTTGTCACTCACATTTGTTCAACATTCTCT